ATCCATTATTATTATCACGTGCATGCCTATCTGTTTGTTCTGCTATTGTTCTTTGATGTGGTTGTGATTACGAGCATGTGGTGGTGTTTAGTTAGGGTGGACTACTTACGGAGTATTTATGTACTCACTCCCCCCCATCTACCTTATTGTTTCAGGTGTGAACCGGGCCAACCGTGGTGATGACGTGGATGAGGTCTGACTGAGGCGGGATCACTAGCTGTGTCGGTTAGGCTAGGGAATAATGTCGTGCTATGCGGACATCGTTAAAATCTCACTACTATGAAATAAAAAGGGGAATTAGACATTGGACTAACGCCAAGAACACTTTCTCTTATTGCTTTATGGGTATTTGTTTTTACTATTCGAATTACTGATGTGTTTGGGATTATGAGACAAAATGATTATATTCTTGATTGGATTCCTGACCACTGAGGCGGGTATTATCTTCTGGATATTCTATTATTGTGTACCTCCATTTTGTATGTTGCATTAGAAGAACATTACTTTTTCGTCACTTTAAATGGGAGGGTTCAGTTAGCAGTATAGGACCGTTACTTCGTGAAACGTGCTAGAAATCTGGGCCTTTACAACACTGGTGTGAGCATACGGCAAGGTAGTAGGGTCGTGCAGGTAGTGAGGCTGGCAGCAGGTGAGGGGCGCGTGTGGTGAGTCGAAGCGCACCGACGAGCTGGGTGGTGTGGGGCACAAGGGTGTAGGCAGTAAGGTACGTGCGGGGGCTGCTAATGGGCACAATAGAGCATGCACAAAGGGGGCATGAACTGGGATGAAATGGCGCAAGCGCCTGCAGGCGGGGTGTTGGCGTGCATGCAGGGGCTACTGAAGGCAATAGCAGGCATGCATGAGATTGTTGCTCACGAGGTTAGTGTGCTGACGATGGCCTTGCACGTGCGGTCGTGCTCTCCACTTTGTTTGATTTGATTTGAAGGATCTTGTGCCAAATATGATAGCATCAATGGATCGGGAAATATTTGAGTTATCCTACGAAAATGGATTAGGAAAAATTATACGTGGGATTACTTTTAGAATCATGGTAGGAAATGGTAATTTTGTAATAAAAAGTTAGTATAGATTCTCCTATTTTTATGTTGGTCATTATTTAAAATTGAAATTATTTGATATTTTTTGAAATGGCCTATTTTAGATGGATACAGTTTATTTATTACCTTAAATTTCAGTGTCAGCTTGAGAAGTTGGTTTTTTAAACCCCATGGTATTGTTCATGTTGTGAAATTAAAGCCCGATTTGATAAAAAAAAAAAAAACTACAATTTTTAAAAACTATTTTTCATAGTTTTCAAATTTTATTTTAAAGTTTTGTTACATTTTAAAAAGTATATAACAAAAAAATACATAAATAGTATTGTTATAAAACAAAATGAGAGAACTAATAAATTGATTGCCTATCATAAATAAAACAACAATACACGAAACACAAAGCTCCAATTCATAGCCCAAGCTACAACTAATTAATATTCAACTAGATTTTTGTATTTTTGGCTTAAGAAGTAGAGCATATATATTTATTTTATACGTTTGTTTATATTTGACTATAAATCTACAAATAAAAGAAACTCAATTATATAAACTAAACTACATATTAATCTTTTCCAAAATTTGAATGGTGTCCACTTTGATTATTTCCATTTTGGTATTTACCTTTATTTAGATTTTAACGAACTAGCATGACTTCGAGTATGGATAATAAAATATTAACAAGAGCATGTACTCGGACCATATAGGTTGACAGTAAGTATTGAGTAGGTAAATTTAATTAGTTGAAAAGATAATATTACAATAATCAAAATGGTTATTTTTTTTTAAGTCTTAAGGTCTAAAATAGACATTATAAAATTTCAAAATTTCAAGAATTAAAATAATTGAACGTTCAGACACTGAAATGGAACACATAGACTAAAAAAGAATTGAAAAAACTTCTAACGGTGTTGATAAACCTAAAGTTTCTGTAATCAATTAATATTTACACAATCCAATTGAAATCCAGGCTTGTTCAAATTATGGGTTAAACATCTCTCAAAACAAAAGAAAACAAAACAAAAAAAACATTCCCATCATTTAGTTTACATAATTTTCCAAATCATCCCTAATAATTTTTTGGGACTAACCAGAGGAATGGCGTAATAATAATAATAATAACAACAATAATAAGACGTTTCAAAAATTGGCACAAAAATTAAATATTGTGTTAATAGCTTATTGGTTCTAATCCTTAAAGTCGGTTAAGTGGTTTCAAATGAGAAGAGACGAAAAATGAGGAGGGACGAAAAAAAATACGGTTTAAGGGCAAAATTAGAAAATCATCAGTTTTTGAAATCTCAAAAAAAATTGATTTGGCTCTTTGCGTATAATATGTTACTATCGGTCATTTGTATTAAAACGGGTGCGCAAATTTAGCCATTATCCTAAATTTTCCAAATAAATGACAGGGATCTTATCATGTATGAAAGTTGGTGCACAGTCCTAAAAGCTACAAAACCACCATAAGCCCAAATGTAAGAGAGAGCACCAAATCAAAAAAAAAAAATAATAATAATAATAAATAAATAAATAAATCTAAAGGTAGCACATTGGATCTAGGCTTTCTTAACTTGTGGGTGGTCTCTTTGTTTTCTCTTCACACCCCACCTTGTCATTTTCAATAGTCTTGTAATCAAACAAAAGATAACGATATTCTCTCTTCTCTCTATTTCTCTCTCTTACCCATTTTTTCCCATTTACCCAAAACCTCTATCATTGAGCTTCCAAGTCCATGACCTCATATCTCTCTCCAAAACTAATTATTTAAAACCCTCACTCTTTCCACAGCTTCTTTAAGTTCTTGGCAGCATAGAGGGAGAGAATTTGAGATCAGCTTCAGAGGAAAAAGGTGAAAGAAAAAGAAAATTAAATGGGAAGTTTAGAGGAGGAAAAACTAGTTCAAATGGTGGATGATTTTATTGAGTCTACTGAAACACCAACTTCTTGTTCTTCTTCTGCTTCTTCAAATTCTCTTACTTCCAAAACCCATCATCTTTTCAGTTTAAAGGTATATTAATTACGATTCCTTCTCCCTTTTGATTTATGAATACACTTCGATTTCATTAAATTAAGTGTGAAATTGATGAAGTTTCTGTTGATTTGTGTCATTGTAGGAGATTCTTGGGAGTGGGAGAGAAGCAGAAGGAGAGGTGGCTGAGGCTGTGACGAAGCATCTCAGAAAGAAACTGGAATCTCCCAAAACCACCAGTTTGAAGAAATGGCTTGTGATGAAGCTCAGGATGGACGGCTATGATTCCGCTGATCTTTGCCACACCTCTTGGGTCACTTCCATAGGGTGCCCAGCAGGTGAGAATATTATTCCTACCGCGGCTAAAAATTTCACAACTATTTTTTTCTTAAAAAGAAAAAATCTGTCCTCTGGTTTTATACTTTTTTCTCGAAGTATTATTCTTATCTGATATCTCTATTTTTAAGGCGGTGTTTGGCAGAGGATCATAAAAATATACTCTCTCAAATAATACATACTTCTTGATCGGTCAATAGAAATCTTTCTTACAGACCACCGTCGAAACAAAAAAAAAATCTCTCTTTCTCTCGGCCTACTTCTAAAAGACATAACGGATTCTTTCGAGGGTTATGATAATTGATTAATTAAAAGTGTTTTTTGTTTGCAACAGGGGAATATGAGTACATAGAGACGAAAGTGGAGGATGAATTTGGGAGGCCAAAGAGGATGATAATAGACATAGAGTTCAAGGCACAGTTTGAAGTTGCAAGGCCAACAGCAGCCTACAAGCAGCTCACAGAAGCACTTCCAACAGTGTTTGTAGGGACTGAGGAAAGTGTTTTTAGAATAATCACAATCCTATGCTCAGCAGCCAAACAGTCCCTTAGGGAGAGTGGGCTCCACATACCCCCTTGGAGGACCTCCACTTACATGCAGAATAAATATAAGAGAGAAGAAACAGAAGAAGAAAAAGAAGAAAAAGGAAGTGCTTTTAATTACAGGTGGAAGCCTCCCATGGTGAAGCAAAGGAGGAGGCTTTGGAGTGGACCCTCTGCCTTGTCTACTCAATTTTCTAACATGAGTATTAATTGCTGCTGATCATGGGCCAATCTTGAACTCCCATGGTGAATCCACTGATTTCTACGCTTTCGTTATTGTTGGATTGGCTGTCGGGTATGCTTGATACTGCTGCGAGCCAAGCTGTCTCCTTTCCCAAAAAATTTTGATCCAAATCTCTCTATGTTAAAAATGTTTGTTTTAGTTCCAACAAAGAATACAGTGAGAATTTGCATTTCTGACTTTTACAAACGTATACGAACTCACATCGACTATTTTGATCCCTATCAAAGTTATGAGTTTGGCTTTTCAAATTTCAAAACTTACCCCATGGAAAGTTGGTTCGTGGGTTGGCCAACCAAGAGTAGATCTCATAATTTATTTAACTTTCTAATATGATTTATAATAAATCAAAGGTTAGAAACCTTTTCGTTTGTATGCGCTTTCGTTACGGTAACAATTTATAGTATAAAATTTACTTTGTAATGTGATTTACTCTCCGTCAAATTTAATTAATCCATAAATTTTAGTCCTTATATATACCATGAAAAGCGTCATCAAATTTAAGTGTCAATTTTTATTATATAACAATTTAGTATTTATAACTTATAAATATATTTAGTTGGCCGGATTAGTTTATTGATCTACATGTATCAAAAACTTTATTAAATTTTAACAACATTTTTCATGATGGAGACTAAATCATACAAACTTTAAAATAGACCGATTAAGTTGGTGCACATTAAAATCTAAGGACTAATTAAATTGTTTACCAATTTGAAAGTATATAAATTATGAGTCATTACAAACTAAAGTATAAAGATTAAATTGTCAGTGAACTTGAGTTTAGTTCAACTAGTTAAGACATATATGTCTAACCAAAAGCTCGTGAATTCGAACTCAAAAAAGATATTAAATAATCGCTTCAATAAAAGCATAGTAACCAAAAATGTTTTTATAAATCTAAATGAAAATGCAAATAAATTTTTTTTTTTTGCTTGAACTTTTTTTCCCATTCTTGTGTAGTTTTCTTTTTTTCTTTTTTTGAAATAATAATTATTTTAATAAACTAATATAGAGCGTATAAGACTTATTTAAATTTCTATTTGTTGGTGAGAAAACTACAATATAACATTATTATTTTTATTCTATCTATCTAGAGAAAAAATACTTGTAAACGTCAATATGAGCTCAGTCAACTTAATTGGTACCTATATCCAACTAAGATGTCATGAATTTGGATTCCCCTATTTTCACTTCTTATATTCTATACGATATTCACACCGGTAGATTTTCAATTAAATTTAGCTCAATAGTTTTGATTTTTATCGTCTAAAATTATTTCTAGTATTTAAATGGTAATTTAATTATTGTAATATTCAATAAAAATCATAAACTGATTGAGTTATACATAAATTCTATTTTTCATAATAGTAATTATTTTATTTTATTAAATAAGAGAAAGTATTTTAAAAAGTAACATCTGTCCGTAATTCAAATCTCCAATCTCTTATTCACGTATTTTTTGTACTCTAAAAAGAAAAAGAAGATTTTAGAATAATTATAATTAATATAAAAATGTCCCATATGTTCTAGAAGGCCTATCTATTAGCCACAGGAGAATTTAAAGAGAGTAGGTGTTTGGTTGGAATTGCTTATTGGGTAAGAATGAAAAAAAACATGATCTACATGAATGACTCAGCATGTGTATCTTTTTCTAAGGTTGGAAATGTTCATAAGTATATTTTGTCTTTTATCATAAGGTTTGACACATTTTCAATATGATAGTCAAACTCAATTGTAAAAGATTTGTATAAAATAACTATATTTTATATTTTATAGTTTTCATATACAAAATATTCAATTCACTCTTGTCTTTTTCTTATCCGATAATTATTATATACATGTTTGTTAAGTTGGACTAGTTAAGACGTTATCTCTAACTAAAAAATTGTGACTTTAAATTTTCATCCTCCCACTTGTAAAAAAAATAAAAATTTTTGTTGTTCAGTTTTTTATTTTAATTTTATCTGAAATTTTAGTCAAAGAAAACAATTTTAAATTTGACTTTCTTAATTTGGTTAAGAATTTAAAATAATTTAGAACTAGAATTTATATTCAATAGGAAACTGTCCATAAATAAGCACATTTTTTTTATATAAAAATACAATCTTTATCAAAGAGATCCTACAAATTTGTTCAGCCTTTGAGTTTATCATCATTTTCTTTGTATGAAGTCGAAAGAGAAGATAGACATTTATTATTATTATTATTATTATTTTAATAATCTACAATGTATAGTACTCAAAAAAAAAAAATAAATAAAATTGATGATAGAGAAAGTAAAAAATAACAACAGTCCTCTCATAAAAGTGTGGATAGTGAGAATTGAAGCTCAATGCATGGCACCACCACACCAAATATATAACAAATAATTATGTCCAATCTTATTTTGAACAATTATATTTGTTTACTAATCATTTTTCTTTATTCAGGTTTTTATTTTTAGAAAATAATTTTAAAATATTAATCATCAAATTTCAGAATTGAAAACAATTCTTAAAAATACAAAATAAAAATAACTCATTTTAAGTTCTGAATTGACTTTTTTTTTCCTCTTAACAAAAACCCTTCATTAAGCAACACCTCCAAAATCGTGAGTGCCTCCAGCATCGTCTAAATTGTCTGTTTTTTGCTCTACAAAACGATTGCCCACCAGGATCATTTTCACTGTGAATTCTAGAGAACCCAGTCGAGGCCCCCTACTTGACACTGTTCTAACCATGATGCATCGACATTTAGGGTCCAAGTCTGAGGAGATGGCGGTATCCATGTCTTTGAGTTTGGGATATCTCTAATTTCAATTGTTTGCCCACCTATTGCTTGGTGTAGATCGATAAGCTTTTCATTATATGCATGAATAAATTTTTGGAATTTTCTTTGCAAATTGGGCTGCTCCTCATTGAAAATCACGTTATTTATGTGTGTCTACATCACCTACGAATCGATCATAAGCATCTTTATATCTTTTGAGATTGCATTGTTCAGCATACAATCTCAGTAGTTCCATATTTTCAAGCTAACCTACCAATAGAAAAGGGTCCTAAAGCAGGACTAAAAAATGAAGGGTAATGGCATTGGTAGCAAAATTATTTTATACATTTCCAAAAATATCACCATTTTCTAAAATTTCAAATATAACAAAATATTAGAAGGTTATTTTCGAATTTCTGTTTTGCCCTTTGTTTTTTTTCCCAAATCTCTTGCAAGTAAACTTTTCATACCCCTAACGTCCATTGATG